ACGGTAATAGTGCTCAGAGGTTAAAGGTGAGGAGCCACATGACGTTTTCTGTGAATAATGATGAAGTTTGTCCTTTAACTCTGCCAATACAGTTATAAGCTTAATGCTGGTCACTTAGCAGTTTTGGCAAAACTAGTGAGGATGGAGAAAGCCTGGCAGCTCTAGGTCTAAGGGTTTTGCTGTTGGTGGTGAGGACACATTGGAATTGTAACTCTAGGGCACGTCACTTGGGCTGCTTCTCAGCCTCTAATTAATGAAAGAGTGGTCCCGGGGACTTTCGTATTGCCCAGAGTTGGACACATGGTGTTCACTGTGGCTCCAGATTTGTGTAACTCATCTCCAGAATTGTATGCGTATAGTTTCGTACTAGTGGGAACAGCTCCGTTCTATAGCAGGTTTCCTTGACACTAAGCCATTTTGATAGCTCACTGCTTAATCATTTAAAATCCTGAAAATTATACTTGAAAAATAATCAAAGCAAGTGAAGGCATGATTTATACTTATCAAAACTCTATAATTCTTCCTGGAGTTGATCTTCTCAGTCTCCGATGTCTCTGAAGCTGGGGCATTCCGCCACAGACATGAGTGGGGCCCTGTCTGCATTTGGGCCCCCAGGTCTGGTTTGCGAGGACGCTTGCATGTGCTACCGTGGGATACAGTTCATACTCTGCTTCGCTCAGTCTTTGATACGTGGATGCTCCGTCAGGATTACTGGATGTGCTGCTGTGGCCGGGCAGAAACCGCAGCCTGCGTCAGCACTTTGCCCTCTGAGCTGTGAGCAGAGCCTGGGGCTGCGTGAGGCCAGAGCAGTGGTTTTCAAAGTGGGGTGCCTGGAACCCTGGGGGGAGACTCCAAGGACTTGGTATGTTCCAAATAACTACTGTATGATGTTGCAAAGTCATGCCTGGAGGTTTGTGAGGACAAAACTGTCTTCACAATCATGCTAAGATTTCTTTCTCTTTTATCTCTGTATTGGCGTTTGCCCTGATGGTGCAGAAACAGCAGGGGGTAAGCCTGTTGGCGCCTCAGCACAGTCAAGTCAGTGGCACAAAACCGCATCCAGTTCCAGTTGAAAAAAAAGCCCCTGATGAACCAGTAAATGTTACCGATTGAGTTAAATCTTGAGACTCAGGTACATGTTGTCTTCATATTCTGTGCTGTGAAACTGGGACGTTCATAGAAGCATTCTCGTGCCTCCTGGAGACTGATGGTGTTCTTGAGAAAAAACACTTGAGTTATTGTCTGAGTGGCAACATGAACTAGCTGTGTTTTTTCCCCACAGAACATAATTTTTCTTGAAACAATGGCAAATAGCC